AAGATGAAGTATTTCAAGCTGTTCTTTCTCAAGCACATTGGTTCATGAAATCCTCACCCCTTCCACAACACGTGGGGGTATTATTCACCACTGTTCAGTTCAAAGCTGAGGGTGCTGAGGTTCAGAGAAACTAGGTTATAACTATGTGAGTAATTGCTTATACTCTGTATTTCCCCAATACAAATTGTAGATTAGCCACATAGCCCTTGGGGACTATAGGCCTTGTGTGAGTCTCATCTTTTGTCTCCGAATTCCATATTTTTCCATTCTACTCACAAAAATAATGAAAGAGGAGGGCATAGCTTTTTTTTTTTACCAGGAGCTAAGAACTACAGATACCCTACCACTCATCCCATAAGAATGTCATAAAGTATGGGAACACATACACATTAAAAATATGAACAACTGATACAGTGTCACCTCAAAGATCAAAGCATTTAGTCAAAGATTAGGAGTTTATTTCATGATGGTGCTGTGAGACTCCAGGAGAGAGTTTCCTGAGATATTTTATACTCCACCCACTCTTCAGGTTTCTGTTGAAATCTCCATTTTTTTAAATTTAAATTTTATTTTTATATTCCCCATACAATTGCAACCCCCTTATTTTGACCCTAATCCCTCCTTTCCCCACCCCCACCCCCCATAGAGTGTCTCTGGTTCATAGTTGTTTGTTGATTTTGATTTTTACTTTCTTATAGTTATTCTTTTTCCTGGTCTCTTATTTAAGTTTTCTAGATTCCTGCTATGAGTGAAAATCTCCATTTTGAGGCTTTCTCTGTCCTCTCTTTCCTTGTTTTTGAAGCCTGCTGTTCTAGCTTCATTGCCTCTGATAGCTAGCAAGCAGAGCATTTTGTCTTCCAAGTGTCTAGTACTTTTGATCTTCATCACTAATTCTTCCAGGGCTCTTAATACAATGTTTTAAAATAGCTTCCAGGATTCCTGAGGGTTATTAACTTACAGTGTGACAGTTCATTTACCCCACAACCCCCATGCCTACAGATTTTTTTCAAAGTTCTATTTTCAAACATTAAATAACTATGTGATGAGCATCTTTCCTATAGTATCCTATTCCATGGAGAAGCTGTAGACATGCTTGTCTTTTGGACAGGCAAATGGGGAAGGGATTGGGGTGAAGTAATTGAGTTAAAATGAGAAAATGAGTTGACTTTTTTGTGTGGTAAAAAGTACCTAACATAAAATTGACCATTTTAACCCTTTCTAAGGTCATAGTTCAGTGTCATTAACAGAGTTGTGCTACCATTCCTACCATCCATTCCAGAGTTGACTGTTTTAAAATGATCTGGCCCCTTAAGACAGGTGACTTTATCAGGGAAAAGTGATTGTAACAGCTTAGGATGCCAGAACAATGTGCTATGGATTGGGTGGCTTCAACAACAGAAATGTATTTGTCCTACCTGTGGAGACTGGGAAGCCCACTACAAGATGGCAGCAAGGTAGGTTTCATTCTGAGGCCTCTTCTCTTATTTTCCAAAAGAAGGCAGTTGACATCTAGTCTGTACTCACCTGATTCTTTGTATGCAGGGAAAGTCACTGCACAGGCAATCTGGTATCTCTTATCAGGGACATGGGAGCACCACTATTATGACCTCATCTAACTTCATTAATTATCTCCCAAAAGCACCACCTCCAAATACCATGGCATTCAACATATCAGTTGGGGAGGGGAGAAAACAAACCTTCAGACTATAACAGTGATTTACCTGATGATTATCAAGGGCTTATTAGAAACAGCTGTTAGAGACAGCCCTCAAGACATTGCTAAAAAATTATTGAAGAACTTTGTAAGAAGCCAGTCCAGGAGAGAAGAAATTAAACCAGCAGGGTTTTTTTTTTTTTTTTTTTAAAGAAATTGTTGAGTCCAAGTAGCCCCTCTGTGTACCCAGAATATTCTGAGAGGCATGGGAAAATAGAACTGGTTCTTTGAGAGGTCTGCTTGAGCTTACTGGTGTGTATGAAATCGCCATGTGCCAGCTACCATTGCATTTTATCACACTTAAACTGAAAATAAATCGACTCAACGAAGGAAGATCAGAATCAACAACAATAAAAAAATGTGTGACTGGGAGTTCAACTTGAATTTTGTAAGCATGAATTTAAGAAGAAATACAGAACACTTGTTATCTTATAGATTTGCATTCCTTTTTTCTTTATACTTTTTAAAATTGCTATTATTTAGCATAATGGTACATTCAACTTTAACAGTTGTTTGGGCATATATGTACCCAGTCATTTCTCTTTATACTTTTGGTAGCAATTTTCATGTGTTATTTTACATTTAATACAAGTTCATGGCACATAATTCAAGAGGTACAAAAGTCTACAGAGACAGCTATTTTTTGTGCTCTTCTGTGCATTCATGTGCTATGTAAATAGAAAAATGCTATAATATGCTTTAGCACCTTGCTTGTTTCATTTGCTTTATCTTGGAATTCCTTTTACATCAATACATATAGTGCTCTTTATTTTCTAAGAGTTTTGTAATATTCTGTTGTATAAACTAAAATTTGTATGTTCCTTTCTATTTGTTTATTGTCTGCCTTTGCCTTTATTTCCTTCCTTAAAATAAGCATAAGACTTTTATTGTGTTTCCTGCTTTATCTTCAGCAATTAGGATAATGACTGATGAAGAGTACACTTTTTTTAAAAAAAAAAAAGATTTATTTATTTATACAAGCACTGGGTACAGTCAGAAGCGCGGGAGGGTGAGAGAATTCACCAGAGCCAGAGCGGGGAGCAGAGCAGGCAGAAGGACCAAAGTACACTGCTGAGGGGAGCAATGGGCGGCAGGAGGCGTCTTCACGCCATGTGGGACCCTCCTCCGGTGGTCGGGGAGCAGCCGGGAATCAAACCGGCACTGCAGAGGCTGCGGGCAGCTTCACAACCCAGCGCTCAACCGCTGCGCCACTGGGGAGGCCCTGAAGAGTACACTTTCAATAAATATTCTGTGGAATGATAGTTGCACTATTTCATACCTGAGCAACTTGAATTGCTGAGGAAAGGGGTATGGATAAGTTGCAGTTTTGTTGACTACTGCCATATTGCCCATCCTCCATGGAGGTTTTAAACACTCTTCCACCACTGGTATTGGAGTATACCTGTTTCCTCACACCTGTGTAACATCCTTGCCCACCAACATAAGTGCTGCCAGAGTTCATTTTGGCCTCTTGGGTACAGAATGAGTGTATCTTGGTTTATAGCTATGCTTTAATTATGAGTGAGGTTTATGCATATTTAATCTTTGGTTTATGTGTGCTGGGTAAAGAGAAAGAAAGGTAATTATACCCTTGTGATATGTGTGGACAAGTTCCTCACTACCAATATGTCATACATATTTTGCCTTTGTTGATATTTTTCCATTTGGAACTATTTTTTTAATCACTTGGACCTTTTTTTAGAACCTTTCATTTTGATGTAATTAAATTTACCAATCTTTTCTTTTAGCATGTCTTCATCAGGTATGTCTTAGGTAGGGATATTCATAATTAGAGAAGTCTCTGTCACTCCAGGATTATTTAAAAATTTTCTCATGTGTTCTTCAGTACTTTCATATTTTTTTTGTGTATTACTTATCTGTGAGCATCTAAAATTTATTTTGGTGTTAGGAGTGAAGTAAGGGTCTGTCTTTTTCTTTCCAAAATGTGGTGTATGTCCCATTTCCTCTTCACTGATTTGCTGTTATCTTTATTATTATGAGTCCCATATGTTAAGTGTTTTTTTTTTTTTTTAAAGATTTATTATTTATTTATACAAGCACTGGGTACAGTCAGAAGGGCAGGAGGGTGAGAGGATTTACCAAAGTGGGGAACAGAACAGGCAGACTGACAAAATACACTGCTGAGGGGAGCAGTGGGTGGGGCAGGAGAGGTCTGAATGCCATGTGGGACCCTCACCGGTGTCTGGGGGTCGAACCGGTGTCTGCAGAGGCTGCGGGCATCTTCGCAGCCCAGTGCTCAACCGCTGCACCACCAGGGGAGGCCCATGTTTCATGTTTTTTTTTAATACACTCCCTAATCTTTTCTGTTGAACTGTCTACTCCATGATGAGTGCCACATAATTGCAATTGCTGCAGTTTATAATATTCATTCAGTGTGGTACTCCTGGTTCTCACTCTTTATTTTTTTAAATATAATTTATTTTATATTTATTTTACAGCATTGTTCATTTTTGTACAATATTTGCTTTCTCTTCTCAGGTGTAGTCCTCATAGAATTCCCACCACCAATTCACCCGTGCACCATCGCCATAGTCCCTTGAGCTCTTCCCTCCCTTGTTTTGATCCCTCTCTCTCCTCCTCCCCTACAGAATGTCTGATTTATATTGCCTGTTAATTTTATTTATTTATTATTATTTTTGTTCCCTGATCCCTTATTTGCATCTCCTGTAGTCCTCCTATAAGTGAAACCATCTGATATTTTTCTTTTTCCTTCTGATGTATTTCACTGAGCATAAGCCCTTCTAGTTCCATCCATGTTGCTGTGAACGGTATGAATTTATCTTTTTTGATTGCTGAATAGTATTCCATTGTGTATATATACCACATCTTCTTGATCCAGTCATCTGTTTTGGGGCATTATTTTATATGTGCCCCAACTATCATTGCATGCTTATTTTTCTATACAAACTTTAGAATAAATGTTTCTAGTGTTATTAAAATCCTGTTTGTAACACTTACTACATTTATTGTACATTAGGGATATCATTCACTTTCTTTAAAACTTCACCAGTTTCACTTTAAAGTTTTCTTGATATAAATCTTGAATATTTTAAATTACATTTATTTCTTAGTATTTTACCCTCTTTGTTGCTACTACAAATGAAATAATTTTTCAGTTATGTTTTCTAACCTTGTGGTTTATATATAAAAGCCATCTTATATTACTTTTTTACCTGGTTAGTTTACTTTTTAAACTATGTTAGGTTTCTACACTGAGTTAGTACACCATCACAAAATTAGTGATGAATCAACAAATGAATCTTACCTCATTGCTTGTGTGGCTCAGAAGTCCAGGCACATTTACTTGGTCCCTGCTTAGTCTCAAAAGGCTGTAGTCACCATGCCAGCTGGACTAAGAGCTCATTTTAGAGACAGTTTACAGTTGGGCTTTAGTTTCTTCAAGGTCAGCTGGTCTGACTTAAGGAAAGATTCAGTAATTCCTTTAATAACTAAAGACTAAAAAAAAACCCTGCTAAAATGGAAAAAATAAAAGAGGTGATGATAATATCAGCAATAACAAAAACTTAGGGTGATACTCATCTGAGATGACCTTCCCTTTGATTAAATCAAAACTAATCTTGTAGTCTAGCTATAAAATCCCTTCACCATTTCCATATAGTGTAAGCTAAACAAGCCTAAATGTGGGAGTAGTCTTCGATCCCCTTTTCCTTATTCTGTTGTTTGGACATAACTTCTGATTCCACTCACAACATCATACCAGGGCCTGACTCACTGGCAGTCCCCTTATGGTTTGCCCATCACCTATCCCTTACCTTCCTCTGAGTTTCCCTGCAGGACAGTTGTGCAGCTGGCAGCTTTCCATCTTTAATGCCTGTTACAAAGTTCGGGTCTCAGCCGTAGGCATGTAGAATAGCTAGATATGCCAAAGATAATGTTCTCTGGAGCAGCCGCCAACTAAGAAGGGAGGAGTCAGTGGATAAATACCTTGCTTCTCTTCTCAGAATGCTGAGATGTATTCTAGATTTCTCAGATGGTTCCCAACAAAATAAAGATCCTGTAATTCCCTCATTTTACTGTTTTTGACCTGTCTCATTCCCATTTCCTCACATTTGTCTCCCAAATAAACCACTTGCTTTCAAGACCTCCTTTTATATGTGTGTGTGTGTGTGTATGTGTGTGTGTGTATATATATATTAAATTATATATATTATATATATAATATATATAAATATATATATTAAGTTATATATATATTATATATTAAATTATATATATATAATATATATATATTAAATTTTATTTTGCAGTCAAGACCTTTTTGAAGGTTCTGATTTTGGGGAAACCCCAGCCAAAATATGTTGGTTTAGTGGTGGTAGTGTGTTGTTTTCTTTTGTTGCACGGAGATCTGAAGATATAAGTACTGTTTCAGTGCATTTTGGAATTTGATGAGTATTTCAATGGTGACTATTCTGTGGTCAGTTTTTAGGAGCACATACAAATATGTGCGTAAGTATTTTTGCTCCTTCATAATTGTTATGTAAACACCAGCCTTAAATGATAACTATTATAGATCTCCAGATGTGAAAATATAAGAGAGATTTGGAAAACATCAAAGAACCTGTGTTCTTTGTGCAGAATATGGAATTTAATATACAGTAATTATGTCTTAATTTTCTGTTGTATTATCCTTATCTTTATTAATTTTTCTGTTAACTTGGTATATCCTGAATTGAGGAAGGTAAAACAAAATCTACTTTTACTAATGTATTTTTTTTCTTTATTTCTATTGATTTTAGCTTTATGATTATAGTGTGCTCTTATTTGAGGCACAGTTTGTTAACTACTGGAAAAGCTCATTGTGGAGTTATTCTTATAAATACAAAGTGGTCTTTAATATATTTTGTCCTGAATTCAAATTTTTTTATTTAAAAACGATTTTGTGTAAATTGCTTGATAACAATTGCTCAGCTTTGGTTTCTAACATTTTTAATCACTTTATTTTAGGTCTGACCCTTATATACAGGGAAGTATATAACTGAATTTTTGCACTTAGCTCCATTCTGAGAGTCTTTTTCTTTAAATAAATTCTTTATTTTTGTTTATAGGATAGGCATATTTGGTTTTATTTTATCCTATATGTTTACTTTTATTTTCCTTCTCTGGATTAATTGGATAACAGGAGTCATAATATTTTTCCCTCAAATCTATTTTTAATAAAAATTGATGTTTTCCAAATCTCTATTATATTTTCACATCTGGAGATCTATAATAGTTATCATTTAAGGCTGGTGTTTACATAACAATTATGAAGGAGCAAAAATACTTACGCACATATTTATGCACACATATGTAGCCAATGTGGGTGGAGCAAATTTTAAAAATTTGTTTACCTGATATATTTTGCTTTATTTCAGAGGTTGTGCTTCAGTTTTAAAGAAAGAGGATCACAATTCACACAATGCAACTTTTTGCAGGTGTACAACATTTTGGGATTTGAAAGAAGTTTCCATTGATTTCTCTATAATTTAAAGGTTAGGAAGCTAAAACAGTTTCTTGCATTAATTGAAAAGTTTTCATTCATGTAGTAAGGTTTTAGATTGATTGCTGATCTGTATCTAATATGGTCTTGAAGTAAAAGCACAGTAACTCATTATACTAGATATATTCTTTCTTTTGTTTATGTATTTTAATTGACATAATATTGGGATACCTCTAGCAGATGTTACCATCTTAGTATACCCACCACCCACTCACCCATATTCCACCATAGACCACTGTGCTTCCTTCCTTCTTTGTTCTTACCCCTCCCCTCCATACATCCCCCCACCTCTCCCTTGGTGCTTCACTTCTGTAGTCAGCTATCAAGAGTTAGTTTTTAAGCTTTTCTTTTTCTGACTCTTAGTTTAGTTGCTTCATATTCTACACATTAGTGACACCATCTGGTATTTATCTTTCTCCTGATTTATTTCACTTAACATTATCCCTTCAAGCTCCAACCATGTTGCTGCATATGGCATGAGTTTATCTTTTTTGATTGCAGAATAGTATTCCACTGTGTATATATACCACATCTTCTTGATCTACTTATCTGTTCTAGGGCATTTAGGTTGTTTTCACAATTTAGCTATAGTAATTATGTAGTACAATAATTTAGTATAATATACTGCTGCAATAAACATGGGAATACAAGTTTCTTTTCAAATTAGTGTTTTTGAATTTTTTGGCTAGATGCCTACGAATGGAATTATTAGGTTGGATGACAGATCCATGTTTAATATTTTGAGACACCTCCATACTGCTTTCAATAAGGGCTGGACCAGTTTGCATTCCCACCAGAAATGTATGAGGGTTAACTTTTCTCCACATCCTCATCAGTGCTTGTTGTTTTCTGAACTTTTGGATATGGGCCATTTTCACAGGTGTGTGATGGTATCTCATTGTGATCTTGATTTTCATTTCTCTGATAATAAGTGATGGTGAACATTTTTTTCATGTGCCTGCTGGCCTTTTGAGTGGCTCCTTTGGAGAAGTATCTGTTTAATTCTTTTGCCAATTTTTGATTATTTTACCTGCTTTGTTCTTATAGAGCTTGATGAGTTCTTTATATTTGATGCATTCTAATTGACTAAATGAGGTATAAAAAAGAAGAAGGCTAGAGAACTTGAGGGGGGCCTTGCTTCTTTTTACAGATATTTTCAAGCCTTTCACAAATTTTTTTGCATGTGTTTGAATGTAAATATATGTGTTCTTTCTGATAATTCTAGTTTATTTCTTGTTTTTTAAAACTATAATTTTATATGCTAAGTTTATCATTTCTTTAGAGAGTAGCTTGTAACTCCTGTTTTTTAACTCATTTTATAGGAGTGACTATATTTGTACTTCCTTTTGTCTTTAATTTTTCTAACACCCAATTTTACTTGATCGTACTGTTATTGTTAGTTTTCCCAATAGTCACCATTATGATTTAAGTGTACTTCGTACAAATTAGCTATAAGTGGTAAAACTTTATGCTTACTGCTGTATCCTGGTGTTTGGGATTTGTGAAATAAATGCTTATTAGTATTTTTTGTATTCTCAAAATTCATATTCATGGTCTTGCTCAGTTTTTTCTGTTGATTATAAAATAACACCATATATTAGTTACAAATTTTCCCAGTTTGCTGTATTCACAATATTGATTATTTGTGATATGCAGTTTAAGTATTTTTATAATGCAAATGTATTTGTTAATCTCTTTCAGAGTTTCTTCTTTTAATTTTGTACTTAATCTTCTGCCACCTTAAAATCATATTTTTTATAGTTTTTTAAGGTTAACATGACACTGCCTCTTCTGAAATTTATTTAGGGGTATTCTTTCTCATCAGAACTGCAAGACAGTTTTGAATTTGTATTTTATTATTTGAAAAATTATTCCTTGGTGACAGCTCTGATGGCAGTGTGGAGTGATATATCCTTGATTTTCATTTTGTGTTTTCCAAAATATCTGACTACACAATTTAATTTATGCACTAATAAAAATACGGAAGTACCAGGTTAGGAGAAAATTGTAGGACAAATTAAATTCAACATCAAATTAGTTTCATCTAATGAAATTTTAAAATTTGCCACTGAAAACCTTGGAAATTATCACAAAAATGTTTTTCAACATTGGCTGTGAGAGAATGAAAATAAACTAGATGCCAAATTCAGCCCAACAACCCCCACATATGGTTTTAAATCAATTAGTTTTCTTGACAACTGAACTATAAAACTAAGAAGCTAGTTAATGATTTTCTTATAGATATTTCTATTATGGATTTAATCAGCATTTGGTTTTAGTTATAACATACATGAGATGGCACTCAAAATAAATGACTCTTTTTTGAACCAAGTATTATAACCAAATGAGTGTTGTTCCATTTAATGCTGTCACTTATTGTCAAAATTGCTATAGCTTAAAACATCTCTCAAAGTTTTCTTGTAAAATTGCCTTCAGGGCTGACAGTACATTCCTTTTGCTATTCTCAGTATATTTGAGGGAGGATCTAAGTTTTGGCAGTATTCTAAAGCAATATGGGTAAAATTTGGGGAATACGTTTGCTGGATACAACTGAAGAAAAAGAATATAATGGTGTATTACTTATGATATTTTGTTCAGCTTTAAGTAATCTACAAATCCACTTATGGTGGCTAAAGCAAAGGAATTAGCTTTTCTGACATATGAAGAAGTGTGAGGCTGCTGGCATAAGTTTCAACTACTCAATGATGTTAAGGCTTGTATTAGTGAAATTGTTTTTGGTGTTTCACTCATGGCTGTTCCTGGGAGTCATAAGATGGTTTGTGTGTCTTCTCACACCCTTTCTATTGCAAAACTGGAAGAAAGGACAAAAGCAAGAAATATGCCAGTGTCTTCCTCATTTATCAAGGAAACCAATGATTGTTTAGTGTCATTGGTAAGAAGTGGGTCATGCTGCCATCCCATCAGCTAAAGCATTTGGCAAATGAGAATATGCTGGTGACCATCAGCTTACACCAGGCATGATCCTTTGCCTAGATAGGAACACATTGCTTTCCCAAACAAAATAAGGTTTCTGATGACAAGGAAGAAATGTGAATATGGTAGCCTACTAATTGTGTCTGCCACAAATATGGATGGGGGTAGGCTAGCTACAGAGATGGTTCCAAACAAGAGTCACAAAGTAAACAGTGGCAAACTTTATAAAAAATATTTGAAGAATGCATTGATTTGATCATATATAATCTGGTACTTTATAGAAAAAAAGTAGTGTCTTTATTTATACTTTCTAATTGTTTAATTAGTGGTTTAGGCTTGTCTTATTATATTGCATTTTTCCTGAAGATAACTATGATTTTCTGAAAAATACCCTTGTGTAGAAATCCATGTATTTTATGGGCACTAAGGACATGACTGTTTACTGATTAAATGGGGATCCAATTCACATTTATTAAATCTCTCCTGG